TCGAAATGGTGATAGTGATAATGATCATAATGATAATGACGACACTGATAATTATAGTACTGATAATAATGATAATAGTGATAAGAATGGTTAAATTGATAATGAAATAATGATGGCAATAATAATAGCAATTGCAACAATAATGATAACTATATTAATATTAATATTAATAATGATAATAATAATAATAACAATAACAGCAATCAATATATATAAGAAAATAAATAGATCAGATAATACCCAAAATTCCAACATCCCCGAAAATAAACTTTCTAAAAAAAAAAAAAAAAAAAAAAAAAAAAAAAAAAAAAGCCCAATGAAAAGAGTTGGACAATAAAAATCAAATTGTCTCTTACGTTTGAGCAATGTGACATCAAGTGATTTCCATTTCTTACCAAACTTCGCGACCTATAAAACTTTTTTTTTTTTTGGAGGGGGGAGTGGGGGGGGGGGGAATTCGCCTTCGGGGGGTGGGGTTGAGGGGTAGGGGAGGGAGGGCTTCGTGATATAAACCCAGTCAACTTTTTGAATCTATTTCAAATTGGACAACTAAGGAGATTTTATTTTTTCTATTATTTTTGAAACAGGGTCGAGGTCAGCGTTGATAGATTTAAGGCATAAAGAAGAGATTATTATTTATTTTCATTTGTTAATCATATGATATTTATGGTTATTAGATCTTACTAAATGTAGAAAATAGACTGACAGATCGATAGATAGATAGATGAATAGATAGATGAACAGGGATAAACAGATAGACATAAATAGGTAGCTATAGATAAATAAAAGTAAATAATGTTTAATAGTAATACCCATTTTTGTTTTTAGTAAGTATTCATTGAGACCATATCAACATGTTAGCATCTTTGCTTTTATCTTCATTATCATTAGTACGATCATCATTATTGAGAATTATCATCATTATTGTAGTTGTAGTAGCAGTAACACTAATAATTTCATCATTATAATTTTTCTTAATATTCATGACAGTTATTATTATTTTAATTATCATTATCTTCATTTTCACTTACATTATCATTATAATAACTTACATTACTATTGTTACTCAAGTAAAGACTGAATAAAACTGGAATAATTATCTACATAGCCGTTGCTGGAATTCTCTGCGAGAAACCTGATTGGCTGGAATTGTGTGACGTCAGTTGGCTCCTCCCTCTTTCTTCTCTTATGTATTCTGTCAAGTGTTTACCTAATATTTTTTGTTGACAGTCGTGTATTGTGTTGTTACGACATGCAGCGGTACCTAAGAAAACATAATGCATATTGTAAATCGTGTTTATGTGTGTCTGTATGTATTTCATATGTATAACCTCATTTCTCTCCATCTAAATATATATTAATATATAGTTAGGCTTTTCGATCGTTTCATTTCGTTCTTATATATACTTTATCATATTTCAGTTTGTTTAATACATCATAAAGCATAAATACATTTCACGGAATATATGTTGTTCCTTCCGTCCTAAACATTTTGTTACATTCCAAGGAACATTTATGGTAATAGTCTTGACCAAGGATTGAGAAAACATTCATAGGTTGAGCAAGTTGGGTTTTCCACGCTCGTCCCAACTCCATTCACGGCAAAGGAGTTGTTAGTTGTTTGGGAACAGTTCTGGGTAACATGGCGAACATTCCTACGTCTAGTTTGTTTGTCTTTGTTATTATGATTGCAACTTGCAGGCTGTGTGCATACTGTATGTGATGCTGACCAGTTGAATCTGTAATGTTGAGATTGATTAAAGGATATCTTTGTAATGCATTTGTGATACGTGGAGAACACACGCACGCTCGCACGCACGCACGCACACACACACACACACACACACACACACACACACACACACACACACACACACTCGCACAGACATACACATATATAAATATATACTTCTCTCTCTCTCTCTCTCTCTCTCTCTCTCTCTCTCTCTCTCTCTCTCTCTCTCTCTCTCTCTCTCTCTCTCTCTCTCTCTCTCTCTCTCTCTCTTTTGCCAAGCTAAACCTAATATCTGTTTTGCAGTGCCAAAAATATCACTAGATCATGTCACATGAAGGCATATTGCCAGAAACATTTTTTTCACCTTTGCTGATGTGGAGCCTCTCGTAAAATGGGTTTTGATTTCTTTATCATTATTTTTCTTTCTTTCTTTCTTTTACTTATTATTTTTACTTATTATCATTATCATTATCATTATTTTTTTTATTATATTACTATTTTTTGCAGATTTCGATTTTATCTTCGTCAGAGTGAAATGGCGCACTCCCTTCGTCAGTGGAAAATGGCGTATTATCTCCGTCAGAGGAAACCGGCGTCTCTATATTTGGTCTGCAATCTTTTATTCCTTGTGGTATATTTCTGGAATACAGTTGTGAGAAATGACACGCAGTAAGGCCAAGTCTATCGGTCAATATCTATCTATCCCTTCGTATCGCTGATGTTTCTCTCCTTCTTTTCTCAAAGAGAGAGCGAGAGCGAAAGAGGAAGAGGGGAGGGGTAGAGCTGGAGGAGGGTTGGAGAAGAGAGAGCGAGAAGGAGGGGAGAGAGAGAGAGAGGGAGGGAGAGTAGAGGAGGGAGAGAAAGAGAGAGAGGGAGAGGGGAGAGGAGGAGAGAGAGAGAGAGAGAGAGAGAGAGAGAGGAGAGAGAGAGAGAAGAGAGAGAGAGAGAGAGAGAGAGGAGAGGAGAGAGGGAGAGGTAGAGCGAGGGAGAGGAGAGAGAGAAGAAAGAAAGAGACAGAGAGAGAACAGTGAGTGTACATTTTGTGTAGTCACTAATATTTCATCATACATTTATGATTTCTGTACAGTATGTGATGTGCACTTCGCAATATGTACCGTAAAAGTTCTTCATATAATAATTATTCCAATGCTCTCCCATAGCCGATAACATTCTTGTGCTAAACTCATATAACATTATTAACATTTATTGTCTTTAATATTGTGGTAACTGGCAATGATTGTGACGTTAAACTAGTAAACATTACGATAAAAAAATGAGTAAATAAGCGGTGGTTATGACTCAAAAGAATCCATCAGTAAATTTAGTTATCGTAGTAAGCCAAACCTCCTTAGCCCTTGGAAAATTGTTCTGCGTGAACGTAGTTGAATAAAGGGGATTCTCTGCAACTGTGCAAGGGAAAGGGGCGACCTTTACTGAGTCGCAGATCCTTATGATGTTACTTTGCAACATCTGTGACGTGCGTGGATTGCAACGTCACCACTCGTTCCGTTGGTGGATTTTTCTTTTTTACATTTTTTTTTTTTTTTTTTTTTTTTTTTTTTTAGTATTTCTTTACATTTTAAGTCTTGGTGTTTGAGTTTAAAAGCTATTGGAAATCATCTAGATCAATTTTCTAGCATTTTAGTTTTATTTTCTTCCATCCTTTTTTTTCCTTTTTTTAGTGTTTCTTTACATTTTTAAGTCTTGGTGTTTGAGTTTAAAAGCTATTGGAAATCATCTAGATCAATTTTCTAGCATTTTAGTTGTATTTCCTTTCATTTTCTTAAGTCATTTATCCGTGTTGGTTTCATGTCAGCTGCATGAACCTTGTTATAATACTAAACTCGTGTAATTGGATATTTTTCAAGTACATTTTCATTTTTGTTTCATGCTAATTTGAATATTTCGTTTCAACCAAAGTCTTTTGTTTAACTTACTCTGCCTGACATAAGGTTCATTATGCTTTAACTTGTCTTTATTTTGCGAAGTTCACTGGGTTTCTTATCGTTGGCTTTATTTTAACTGTTTTAAAGATATTTGCCCAGTTGAATATTTTTAAGTGCATAAATAATTTTATAGAGAGATTTCTACTTTATTTTCATAACTTTATGAATCAACTGTCAGGCTGAAGTGTCAAGAGCAACTAATGCATAAAAATAGCTAAAATATATTAGAAAAATCACACACACACACACACACACACACACACACACACACACACACACACACACACACACACACACACACACACACACACACACACACACACACACACACACAATATATATACATATACATATATAACGAAACAATGGGTATATCTGCATAACTAGGTATAGTTTACATTTCCTTGTTTGTTTGTTTTATCACGTTTACATTAATTTCTCTTTATTCTCCTATTTCCCTATTCCCTCCCTTCCTTCTTCGATTTTCTTTTCCCCTCTTATTCCCACCACCCATCACCTCCTTTCCCATCACCTCCTTATTACTCTTTCACTCCCTTCCTCCTTATTTCATTCCTTCTTCCTCCCTCATTCTCTTCATTCCACCTCCTTCGCTTCGTCATTCGCAACCCCGCAGCTTCTGAAGTCGCTGTTTGATTTCAGGATTTTATTTGACGGAAGAACAACAAGGATTTGGGTTGGAGTGTGGGTAGGAGGCGAGGTGTTGTGGGGATTGTGGGGTTGTGGGATGTGGATATGTGGGAATGTTTGATTGAGATGTTGTGGGGATGGGAAAAATGTTGGATAGGAGGGCGAGGTGTTGTGGGGATTGTTGGATTGTGGGGTTGTGGGGAATGTGGATATGTGGGAATTGTTTGATTGTGGGGATGGGGAAAATGTTGGATAGGAGGGCGAGGTGTTGTGGGGATTGTTGGATTGTGGGGAATGTGGATATGTGGGAATTGTTGATTGTGGGATGTTGTGGGGGATGGGAAAATGTTGGATTGTAGGGATGTGGATTGAGGGTTGGATTGTGGGCTTGTGGGGAATGTGGATATGTGGGAATTGTTTGATTGTGGGGATGGGGAAAATGTTGGGTTGTAGGGATGTGGATTAAGGGTTGGATTGTGGGGTTGTGGGGAATGTTGATATGTGGGAATTGTTTGATTGTGATATTGTGGGGGTGGGGCAAATGTTGGATTGTGGGGATGTGGATTGAGGGTTGGGTTGTGGGGAATGTGGGGGACGTGGATATGTGGGGATTGTGTGATTGTGGAGATATTGTGGGGATGGGGAAAATGTTGGGTTGTGGGGGATGTGGATTAAGGGTTGGATTGCGGGGTTGTGGGGAATGTAGATATGTGGGGATTGTTTGATTGTGGAGATGTTGTGGGGATGTGGATTAAGGGTTGGATTGTGGGGTTGTGGGGAATGTGGATATGTGGGAATTGTTTGATTGTGGGGATGGGAAAAATGTTGGGTTGAGGTGTTGTGGGGACTGTGGGATTGTGGGGTTGTGGGGAATGTGGGGGTGGATATGTGGGAATTGTTTGATTGTGGGGATGGGAAAAATGTTGGGGTTGAGGTGTTGTGGGGATGTGGGATTGTGGGGTTGTGGGGAATGTGGGGGATGTGGATATGTGGGAATTGTTTGATTGTGGGGATGGGAAAAATGTTGGGTTGAGGTGTTGTGGGGACTGTGGGATTGTGGGGTTGTGGGGAATGTGGGGGATGTGGATATGTGGGAATTGTTTGATTGTGGAGATGTTATGGGGATGGGAAAAATGTTGGGTTGTGGGGATTGTGGGATTGTGGGGTTTTGGGGAGTGTTGATAAGTGGGAATTGTTTGATTGTGGGGATGGGAAAAATGTTGGGTTGTAGGGATGTGGATTAAGGGTTGATTGTGGGGATGTGGGAACTTGTTTGATTGTGGATATGTTTGAGTGGGATACGGGTTTGGATTGTGGAGATGTTGTAATGGAATGTTGATTGTGTGGAGATGTTGGATCAATGGTTGGATTGTGAAGATGTGGGGGACGTTGGATTAAGAGTTGCTGTGGGAAATGTGGGTATTGTTTGAATGTGGATATGTTGTGGGGATGAGGTGAATGTTGGATTGCGGAGATGTTGTGGGGAATGTTGAATTAATAGTTGGATTGTGGGGATGTTGTGGGGAACTTTTGGAATTGGGAGAAGAAATTGGTCTGCTGTTTGTGGAATAATTAATGGATAGTATAGATTAGTGGATAGAATAGATTAATGGATAGAATAGATTAATGGATAGAATAGATTAATGGATAGAATAGATTAATGGATAGATAGGAGTATAGATTAATAGATAGATCGGATAGAATGAGGATAGAATAGATTAATGGATAGAATAGATTAATGGATAGAATAGATTAATGGATAGATTAGATTAATGGATAGAATAGATTAATGGATAGAACAACAGGCATAGAAATAGAGTTTGATTAACATATATAAAGAGGAAATTGCAATACCAGATGTGATAAATAGGTAAATAGATAAATGAGTGGAAGGGAGAGACGCAATAGGTAACTGAATGGAAGAAAGATGCGATAGAAAGCATGAGTAAGTGTGAGATAGATTAATGGAGTGAGAAAAGGTGCGATAAATAGATGGAGTGACGAAAGGTGCGATAGATAGATGGAGTGAGGAAAGGTGCGATAGATAGATAGAATGAGGAATTATGCGATAAAGAGATGGAGTGAGGAATTATGCGATAAGTAGATGGAGTGAGGGAAGGTGCGATTGATAGACAGATGAAATTAAATTAAGCCAATTAAATTAAGTACAAAATACGTGTTGCCTTTAACAGGTATAGAATTATGCATTATTCGAAAGCTCTGATTTGGCTGTTTTTATTCATATAATTATAGTTTAATTCGTTTAACATGATGTACGAAGTAACAAGGGCTTTCAAAAGTTAATCTAGACATTGAAGAAATAAAAGAAATCCAATTACAAAAAACATAACACCCCATTTGTTTTTCTTTTTCTTTCTTTTCTTTCTTTCTTCGTCTTCTTCTTCTTCGTCTTCTTCTTCTTCTTCTTTTAACTTGATCTATATTCAAAAGTTTGGGACCCGTCAGAATACAATCCTAAGAAAAAGAGAAAGAGAGAGAGAGAGACGGAAGGAATCAGAAAGAGAGAGAAAGAAAACGAACGATACAAAAAGAATAATAATAACTAAAAAAAACTAAAGAAAAACAACTAGCCATATATCTTTCCATCACCCCACCCGCCCACCCCACCCAACCCCCCGTCAAAAAAAAATAGATAAATAGAATGAAATAAGCAAAATAAAACAAGAGAAAAAACATAAACTAAGCCTTTCCGAGCGCCTGGATGCGGAATTGAACTGTCAAATAAAGTTTATGAAAACCTATCCACTCCCAAAATTGCTGTCCTTTTTTTTATCTCCCTTTGTCGTTTTCTTTATGTTTGTGTGTGTGTGTGTGTGTGTGTGTGTGTGTGTGTGTGTGTGTGTGTGTGTGTGTGTGTGTGTGTGTGTGTGTGTGTGTGTGTGTGTGTGTGTGTGTGTGTGTTGTGTGTTGTGAATGTGAATGGGTGGTTGTGAGTTTGTGTTGAGTAAGTTTGTTTATTGTAATTATGTTTATAGATGTTAATTATTATTCTAAATATACATTTCTTTTTCTTTCGCATGCTGCCTCTCTCTCTCTCTCTCTCTCTCTCTCTCTCTCTCTCTCTCTCCTCTCTCTCTCCTCTCCTCTCTCTCTCTCTCTCTCTCTTCTCTCTCTTCCTCTTCCTCTTCCTCTTCTCTCTCTCTTCTCTCCTCTCCCTTCTCTCTCTCTCTCCTCTCCCTCTCTCCCTCTCTCCCTCTCTCTTCTCTCTCTCTTTTCTCTTTCGGCTTGCGATATATAGAAACATTATACCACTAAATCATACTGGAAACTCGAACCCAAAAATATGAGAACGTATGCTTTTAGGAATAAAAGATTTAATCGAACATGTAAAATGCTTTGCAAAAACGTTTACAAATGCATAGTACCTGACTTTTATTATTCATCTTCACTCTATTTGCCTATTCAACTATCCATCTTTACCTATCTATACACACGTTTATATAAACTCATACACTCATACACGCACATTCATGCACATATATATGGGTGGATGCTTCATGCTCAAGGTGATGTGAAGCGATGGTGTGGTATCCTAAGTAGTGTTAAATGCTTACATGCCTTCTCGCTTCCAACTTCCCCCGCTGGCTAGCCTAGTGTGAAAAAAGGGAGCATAAAACTCTGCATAAGACTCCCGTGCCAATTCATAGCATCTCCTTCATCGAGACTTCTGCAGCACCTCCTCGTGGCCAACCATGGAAACTGGGCACCTTCCGGTCCAAGGATAAACTGTGGGGGATCTCGGAGTCATGGCCCACCGGTGTGTGGACACGCCCTGGCTCTGTACCAACTCCCACCTCTCAGCCTCCTAGGGTAAATGGGAGGTTCGGGGGAGGTGGGCCTTGCCAGTCCTCCTCCTCCCAGTTCAACTCACCGGCAGTGACACATATTAATAGTAATGCTAGGGAGAAGGAACTGCCCCTCCTACCCAACAAGTGAGGCGGGTTGTGGGTCCCGTAAGGAGGGCGACTGCTGGGGCTCAGGTTGGGAACAAGACTTACTCTTCCCACCTGCGCTCTGGCAACCTCGGCGGGAGTGGCAGAGGTGGCGTCCTCCAGGAGTAACTGCCTGAGATTTAACCTCAGGCAGACTGTACTGGTGAGAGCTTGGAACATCCTGTCTTTATGGCAGGATGATAGATTAACCTTGCTGTCAAGGGAACTGAAGCAGCTGGGAGTTTAGGTGGCTGCCATCTCGGAGATGAAGAGAGCTGGTAGCGGCACTATCAATGTGGGTCGGGCAGGGCGATGGTCACATCTCAGGAGTAGCCATAGACATTCCAGGTGACTTCAACCCTATATATATATATATACATATATATATATATATATTATACATAATAATATAATATACATATATATATATAGATACACACAAACACAGACACACATATATAAAAAGATAGATATACATATTTATATAGATAGATAGATAGGTAGATAGATATACGCATATATGTATATGTATATACATATGTACATATACATAACATGTATATGCATACAATACATATATATATATATAATATATATATATATATATATATATATATATATATATATATATATATATGTTCAAAACCATTGATTTTACATTAAAAAATTGAACACTTTCGATGAGCTTCTAGAAGCATAGAATGGTGGCGGGACATTGCCACATCTACTGAGCTTTATTTTGAATATAGAAAAATTTCGTGTTCAGTAAAGTGTAGTCAAGTATGGGGGAGGGGGATTCTATTTCGATCTCATGAGGCTGGACTAGGGAATTCGAGGGGAAAAGTAGTGAGGCACGGAGAAATAGCGGCAGCTGAGGGACACGCTCCGGCGAGAGACAAGGGCCGGTTCATTCTGCTCAAGATCGCCACATTGGCAGGTAAGGCAGAGAGTGTGTCCCTTGTCGAGGCTAAATTTAGTGATAAAATGAGAAAAGGGGGACCATTAAAGTGTGTAATAAGGGGGGAGGGAATACCCATATATATGTAATGTGTGACTGATTCTGCATAGGATCGCCACACTGGCTGAGGAAGACGCTGGAGCCAACCGGTTGGGGACGCGACCCGAGGTGGCCATCTTGGGAGCCCCCAATGATACCCGAGAAAACCTCACACCTCTGGCCCTAGGACCATTGGAGTGAGGATCTCATCGAAGAGGATAGATCCTGTGATGCCTGTGACATGACTAATAAGTGTAAGGTGGGAAGGTAGACATTTATTTTGCGAGTTAATGACATGTCAGGAGATGGCCTACCCTCCCCCAGTCCAGCAATCAGTACTCTCCGCTTAGTTATCTCTGTTTATTATCAGGAAGTCTAATTCAGTTAATACGTGTTGTTCTTTGAAAGGGAGATTATGTTCAGAATATGGTACTGGGGATGGGAAGTGATATAGTAATCCTTGAGTCAAGGTCAAACATAAGTTGAGTTTCCTTTTGTTTACACTAGGGAGAGTAAATATAAATTTTGTCCCCTCGACATATGATGGCCAGAATACCATCCATGTAACCATCAAATTTCTTGTCGTAGAAATAAATATCTTAAACAGGAGTAATCTTTATATACACCATATTTTATTAATATTATACAAACGTTAAGAAGACCCAGCCTAGATTGCTGCGCCAAGCTACCAAATTGAACCTAATACGGGGGGGGGGGGTTA